TGACAATAATGGACAGTGACAATGTCTTTAGCCAATAGTTATGTCATTATTGCAAGCTAAATTATAAAGTGTCCATTTTTCAGTAAGACAAAACTTCACAGTGCTAGGATTACAATGGCACACATTCTTGAAAATAATGTCAAAGTCATTGCCAGATTCTTTGATCTATATTTTGTTAACATTTACTGTCATTATGCTTGATATCTCTGTTTACAGTACATGTCAGCAAAAACTAAAAAGAAAATATTGAAATGTGTTGATTGCATCAGCATATCATGCCCATGAACTTAATATCTGGTGGAAGCAACTTTGGCTGCAGTTACAACTACATGTTTTGTTATGGCTGCCATATCACCTTTGTACACTGGCTTGATACAATCTTTTTCTCAGTAGATTTGCTCAGTTGCTTATAGACAAATGTTTTCAAAAGGATTAAAGTGACATTTTTGACTGGGTTCCTCAAGGACATCCACTTTCATATTCTTAAGCCACTCCAGTGTACCTGTGGCCTTGTGCTTTGGTCATTGTCTTGACGAAAGGTGAATTTTCGTCCCAGTCTAATGTTCGTCCCAGTCAGATTTTCTTCTACAATTAGCCAGGATTTTGTTCCATATACTATATGTTCCCAGCAGTCTTAATATGCTTTCCCATTCCCTTTGCTGAGGAACAGAGCTATAACTCAACCACTGAACTCTATAACTTGTTTTTGGTCTTACATCTGTTACCATTTTCAGCGTTACTTGGCTGCTCAGCTTGGAGCGACTGCCTGATCTAGGCAGTGTGTAGCATAAAATTGGAACTTCCCACTTCTTTATGATCAAGCTCACCATGCTCAAAGATATTAAAGGTCTTTGAAATATTTTTTCCTCCCTTCTCCTGATCTGTGCCTTCATACAAGTTTAATCCCTTAATTGTTTTGGAAGTTCCTTGGTCTTCACAGTTAAATCTTTGCTTGAAATTCACTACATGACAAAGGTTGACTACAGCGATACTGTAGGTATAATTATTGTGAAATCAAGTGAACCACTAATATTGTACACTAGTATTGTCCACTCAACTAATTTTATGCATCTAAATTAGTTTAGGTTGGCCTAAACAGGAAAGGGTTTGAATGCAATTGTGACTTCTGTATTTTCTGATCATATTAATTATCTATTTACCTTGGGTTTTTTTTTGCTTTGAATGTGTGGTGTATGATACAGTATGTATAAAAAAATACGAATTGCTGCTTCAAAGAATCATGACTGCAACTTTTAAAACAATAAAATGTGCAAACTGTGCAAGGGTATAAAATACTTCTGAAAGAAGTAAATTTATGATATATATAAAAATAACATTTCATAGCATTTCTGAGATTCATATTTACATAAAATCACGTAAACTATGGATATGAACAAATCGACTATATGGCTTTTTTATCTTAGTATTTTACAGTATGTTGGTTACAGTATCCACGGCTACTGATGGTACATATAACCTGAGTGTAACTGGTAACCAAAGTAATGAAAAAATTTAAGAGCTATTTTCGTAGCTACATTATTGCACAAGAGATAAACAGTAGATATACAGTACAGTAAACAAGCTAGTGGGGCTCAAAGGCAGATAGCTTGTCAATGTAGAGATAATTATGAACCTTTAAATTCAGCAGTGAAGTGATCAGTCAGTATTGGTTTGCATTTTCTTTTTCATGTATTTTATAGTATGACTAATGTTGACATTGCTTACATTTGTAATTTATTTGTAAATCTGTTCTAAGAAGAATAAAACATGATGTACAACTATAATTGATCATACTTTAAAAGAAAAGAAAAAACTACAAATGTAATAAAAATACTACATTCTGTTTTACATTCTCTTATTTCTTAGTGAATATGAATTCAATTGCATAATAATATTCTGCCATGGATGTACATACAGCAACAACTGTTCCCCTATGGATGAACTGACACATTGTGTGTTTTTTCTTGTTATTGTGTCTGATATAATCGCAAAAAGGATCAACTTGATCCTAAAGTATAAATATAAGCACTGGCAAGAATACCAATGAAGACTTTTTTTCTCAGGAAATAAGTCATTGGCTATCATGAGGGATATGAAGTAGCTTGATTGACCTGCCCCACAGAAACTGCATTCATAATCTTTGAAAGGGGTTTAGAAAACTCTTAGGCAATCTACATACTGTCATTGGAGGATATCAGAAGACGTCCTGATTTGCACAGGTGTCACTATTGTGTACAAGGTTCTGTAAACTTTTTTTTCCCTCATAGTACAGCTCCAGTTTTGCCAGTGAGCAGGTTTAATCTCAGTGTTGTGTACCTCAGCTGGACCTCTGCATCTCATGTGTCATAGCACATCACATGGCTTGTCAGTGCATTTAAAAGCAGTATAATTTTGTTTCCTGCATTCAGAATTCATCTTAAAAGGAAGGTTTTTAAGGCTCACCTTTTGTCCTGGGTGTCAGATAGACACACCCTCTATTGTGTCAAATTATTTAGGGTTCCTTGGGAACAGTCTGTGTTGTAGAACTGTGATGTACTCGGCAGAGTTAAGCAATGGAAATACAACTGCTGTAACAGGTGAGGAGTGATTTAGCTTCTATAATCCAATGCTCAGAGTTTCCCCTTAGGGAGCATGAATCAGCAGCAGTGACTTAATAGTCTATAAAACAACAAAGATAATCCTGCTATAGAAATAAAGCAATCTTTTATTTACTATTGTGAGAGGCTATCAAGGTATAATTTCGGCGATCAGTCATGCACACCAACATGTGGCACAGCCGATGTGTTTTCCAGATCTGCTAATGTGGGAACCTAATGTACTGCAAGATACCAGTATGTCTTTGTTAATCAGTGCCTGATTTTTTTTTTGCAGTTTCAAGAAAACAGCCAAATAATTACAGGAAAGGTTACTGAAAGGGAAATTGCCTAGTGCCACCCACTACAGACTAATTTGCTGTCATTGTTGATCTAACCTCAAACTCCAATGCTTTATTTCTGAGACCTTTTCAGCAATTTATTTTTAGCAGCTGCAGAAGTGATAAGTTAAATGGCATTTCAAACCATCATCTAGTACAGGATTGGTCATTTGCAGTGGTTAGGTATGCATCTTATTACCCTTTTTTTATTACTACCATACAAAGTCTGTTATTCCTTGGTGCTGGTTTCGCAGATTACAAAATAAGACTGTGCCATGTCCTATAGCTTCCCTCAAGGCATGTTATGATAATTATGGTAATGAATTCTCTGTTCACAACAAAGTAAAATACACCTTTCTTCTGCAATTTTCAAACAACAAATAGCAATATTCCTTTAATCCATAGAAGGCAAGGAGGATTTCCACCTAAAAATAAAGTTTTGTCAGTCTTTGTTTACTAATAGGAAGAAAGGATGGAAAGTGAAACAGAATGAACCAACTAATTATAGATGGGATTAACAAGAGATGAGTGAAGCAAACTGATCACTTTTTATTTCCACCTAGTAAGTAAAAAGCAATTCGTCTGAGTAAGAGCTGGAAGGTTACATCATGCAGCATTAGCCGTTGTAACTCTGAAACTCTAATTCAAAGGATTAAGCAGTCCAGTAATAATGCCACAGTTGTATTATCTCCAGACTTCGTCTGCCTCATCAGACCCAAAGGATTTCAAAACCATTCATTTCTAAACTACATTAATTTATGTAAGTCTTCAAGGTTTTATGAGAGAATTGGGTTTAATCTTACTATTTCTCTAAATTATTATCATTACATGAGTACTTTATAACTATATATATATAGATTGCCATGGAGATACAGTGAGTCTAAAGGTGGAACAGGGATGTCTTAATACCTACCTACAGTAGATTGAAATGAAGCTAAAGTATTTGCAAATTGTAATACAGTAGTGTCTCATGACAGTTTGTATTTTAGTACCAAATCTACTAATAACACAATGTACTGAAAGTGTAAAGACATTATTCTAAAAACAGAAATGAAGTCCTATTATGAAAATGATTAAATCTAAGAATTTCGGGAAATGCTTTTACTACTAAATACTCTACTTTGCTAACGACATAAATGGCTGTTTCTTCCATTAGGCTCCAGGATCACTAAGTAGCTAACTACTACTAACTACTTCACAACAGAATCCTTTAAAAAATGGCAACAGCAATTTAAAACAAACTATATACTTTATCAAGATATATTTATAGGAGTCCCAGATTTCTTTTTGCCACAGCGCCAGAATTTTAAGTATAAGAAAAAGAGACGGCTGGAGTAAAGGAATCTGTCACAGGCTCTTAAGATTTTAGTTTCCTCTTTCATGAATTAATTTGGTTTCAAAAACTTTTGCTTATGAGCAAGCAAAAGCCTTATCATAAAGTTGAAAATAATCTGATACTCACTGACAAGGTTTTCTTCATTCATCTTTATAGTTACTAAAGCTATCAATGCTATGTTGAAAAGGTATTGTAACAGGGGTATTTCATCAGCATACATTTTACATTGTATGAAAATTAATTAAATGTGTCTGCAATCAGCCTTACATGTCATATACTACTCTACAATACAGCTAAGTCAAAGTACCTCATAGAGCACTCTCTTCTTAAAACAAATACAGTGTGTTAGGTTACACAATACAGATATGAAGTTCAGTTTGATCTGTAAATATAGTCAAAGTGGCAGGAAACTGTTTACAATGACAACCTTATCTCTTGTACTGTAGGTAGGTCTGCACAAAGAAATGCTACACACAAGAAAATGAAATGCAGGAATTAAATTGAGAAGAGCTTGAGTGTTGGAAATGATTTCCACAAGCTTTTAAACATCGTTTCTTCCTTTGTGCAAGATTGTCAAATTAGGAATCCTCTCTTTATGTTTCCAAAAAATTTACAGCAGATCAACAGTTATTAAATAAATGTAAAATCAATCCTTCACTTGCTTTATAATACAAGTGCAAATCTTCATTTTAGAGAAATTAACTGCTTTCATACAGTAACTCCAAGCAATGGTATATGGCAAATACATACCATTTAATAAGTCCTTCAGATGTTTGAACCAGACTTCACAGTGGTCCACACTGAGGTTGCTGAGATGGATGGCATGGTCCTTCAGTTTTTTTCCTTTTCTGACACATTGGAAGAGCGTTATTCCTAAAAGAGTCCCGCCTGTCTGCTGGCCCACAGAACGGCGCCGTTTTAACTTGACAGCAAAAATGTCCTTCAGCTCCACATATTCGTCTTGATTTGTTTCACTTGCTTTGATGTCTCCTGCTGAAATGTACAAAGAACATGGCAGGACAATTACCAATTTTCTACGCATACACATTTATATAGTACATATAAAAAAAATCAGGTATCTGAATAATCATACCATTTTTAAATGTGCCCTCCATTTGTTTTTTAACCTAGATGCCCCTAGAAAGGTCTGCAAACATGTTTTTTAACCGATACATCCAGTTGCTCTGCAATATTATCTGGAGAGTCTGATAAATTAAGTTATTGTCTATCTACTAATATGTTTAGCATTCTATCTTGTGAGTTCTGGAATTTAACATTTAGAATTTAACTTTTTATCTATGATGCCTCAAGGTGTCCTCTGAAGTAACTTCTAAAATAGGCATTTAACTATGAGAAAACACAAGGGGAGCACTTTTTGTTTAAAAAAAGGAAAACATAAAAATGCCAGAAACTCTTTCTGTATTTATTCACAAAAACATTCTCTTTAATATTCAAATGCATTTCTTATTACTCAGTTCTACATCTGTCAGTTTGTGCTTTTTATTTTTAAAAATATTCAATTTTATTGTGGCGTTTGTTATGTTGTTCATGTTAAAAACTTCCATCTTAAATTGTATTATATTGCTGCAGTGATACTGTGAATGTGCTTATGCTTCTGTATTCCCTGTCACTTCTAACTGAACATTCTAATTATTTGATAAAGTCTGCCAATTAAGCCACATTTAGAAATGTTTCAAAACTGCAATAAACATTAAGTCGATGTACAATCATATCTCTAAATATGTCTGTATCTTCCCATTTAGAACTCTTGCTTCATTAGGAGGATGTTGTCCGTAACTGCGTGTTTCAGAACATTAACTGCCCTCTCACATTACTTAGTAAGATACTGGGCACCATCTGTTCATGCGCGGGATTTAGGTAGACATCTCTTGGATATCATGCTATTTATTTAACTTCACAGCCTCTTCCTATTGTGCCATCTACAAAAAGATTAAATTAAATAAAGATAATCTCTCTTGACAGAGCATTCTGTCAGCAGGAGAAAGGACAAACTGCCCTACATTCAATACTTGAATTTACAAGGAAACATCGTCATTTTGTAGTGCTTAAACAGAAAGAGGAATAGTCCAGAGCACTTTTTTTTCTTAAACATTACAGTAAGCCGAGGCCTTGTCTAAATCAATCTTGGCACATCTGCCTGACGTAAACCGTAAACAGGATTAGAGTTGGATTTATCTGCTTGATGCTAATTGTGTTCACAGTTTCTGCACATGTCCACTTTTTTTAAATACGGCCTTTAAAATAAGCTTTCCTGATATAGGAACCTCTGACAGCCATTTTTAAATGCATATGTAAGTTAGGTCTGTCTATATTTCATAGAATTGATGATATTCTGTCTTGGCACTTGCAACTACTTATTAGCTAATTCCCCAATTAAGAATAATACAATTCTGTTTGAATATGCCACACACTGTGCAAAACCAGTAGGATGCAGACAGCAATAAATCTGAATACTCTTTAATATTGAACTACAGACCTGTTATTTATATCTTTAGAATTGAATTAACGTCCTATTGAAAAACAAACACTGGCAAAAATGTTTACGGTTGGCAGAAAGAAAAGCCAACAGGAAACATGGTTCCGTCTTTAAATTTCCTTCTTTAATTTAATACAGGTTATGTCAAAATATAACTGCAGTAAATATGTTTAGACGGAATTTAAATTGATATTTCATTAATTCTGTGGAATTTAGAAGGCGGAAACCATAGTGCATACAGTATCATATATTTAACATGTTTCACTTTAATTGAACTCATGCTCAACATGAGTTCAATATTTACATGAAAAGTATTTTCAAAACACTTTTGTGTTCCAAAAGTTTTACAAAAATTATTCTGAATGGGGTTGTTGTGTACAACTGGTATTTAATATTCCTAATTTAATCTGCATTTACATACTGTACAAACAAGAATTATCAAGAAAAATGCTATAAAGAATATACAGTACAACATTACCTAACATTTCAGAAAGATCACTTTAGTTTATAATGGGAGCTACCCCTCATTTCTAAATTTATAGTGCTCATCCACATAGGAGAATACTTAGATATGTTGATTTCAATAAAATATTTTTGCTTTAAATTATACCTACAGTAAGTCATCCACATTAAGCTTTTATTTTTAGGTAAGCAATTACCTATGAACGTTTTTCTCTCTATCAATATAAATAATTATAATGCACAGTCTAATTAAATAAACGTTTGCAATCACTGTGATGAAGTGAGCTGAGAAAGGATTTATTATGATTGCTAATAATAACTTTTATCAATATGCTGTATTATACGGAGTGTTCTGAGAATTCAGAGTGATTAAGACATACCAGATATACTGTAGAGAGAAAAAGGGTTATTTTTTTCTTTATGGGAGCTATTATTTATGTCTAAGTCAGTGGGTTTTCTGTGTGTTTAAGTTGCAGTCCATTGTCAACAAAATGTAAGTTTAAAGGCAGAATTTCATTTCTCAACAATTATCTTTTATGTACAAGAAAAAACTTTCTTCAAACCCCTTTACCTTCTTCAGTACCAACCTCTTGGCTCAACAAATCATAAAATCCCTCTTCCAGTGCCTTTAGCCATCAAAATGGTACATTATGTCTTTATATATTCTAAGAAAGGAAGACCTTTTTAGGCCAAAAAGCACAAGTTGCTTTCAACCAGATTAAAAGTAATGCAGAAAATTCACCAAGATGGTTCTAGCTAACATCACTCCGAAAGGGTATTGTGTTTGGGGGGGGGAGGTAAATTCATCCATCCATTTTCTAACTGCTTTATCTAATACACATGGGAGAGCTGGAGCCTCTCCCAGCAGGCAATGGGTACAAGGCAGGATATACCCTGGATGGGATGCCAGTCCATCACAGGACACACACAGACACAGAAATAAACACACACACACACACACATTAACACCAGGGCCAGTTTTCCCAGAAGCCAATTAACCTACAAATACTGTATGTCTTTGTACTGTTCGAGTAAACCAGAGCACCCGGGGGAAAACACAGGCAGAACATACAAACTCCATGCAGACAGCACCCAAGGCCCGAAATTGAACCCAGCACCCAGCAAATTGAACCCAGCAAAATCCTCAACTGCACAATGACACTGTGTGACTGATCTGCTGTTTCATGTTACTTGATAGACGTAAACGCACATTGGCACCCCCTTAGTAGGCATGCGCAGAGGTAACAAAGGTGATTATTCATGTGGTGTCTAAATAATCAAATACGTAAATATATATACAAGATAGTTTCATCAGAGTATTCATAGTCATATTGCTGCAGACATGTATTTTTGTGACTGATTTACATATTCTTAGTGCTGAGTATCCCAGCTAATAACAGAATATTATGTAAAGCACAACATCTTTTTTAAGAGTATGAACTTAAGTACTGTAGGTAAAATATTAGATGAAATTACATATGATAAACAAAAGAAGAGAATACATAATGATTATTCAAATAGGTACTGTATAATAATATGGCTTCATTTTGTTAACTCTTGTATCCGTTTCATTATCTAACTGCCTATAATGTGTTAACAGCATTAAATATTTAAATGTAAGGTAAATATAGCCCTGGTAGGCTTCAACAGTCTGTACAGCATAGATCCGGATTCTTCTGCATAATGTTTTTTAATAACTATTTTTACTACATAACTTTTTAATATTAAAATGTTGATGCTAAATTACAGTATATGCACAGAATAGCTAGCAAAGCTTATTTCATCCTTAAATACTGTATTTCAAATAGTACCTTAAAAATAATTCAGGTGGGTAGCTGAGTCAACATGTGTAAACTGCAAAGGAACAAGTAAAGGTTTATTCCATGCTGAAAAGAGAAAAAATGTTTCAGCCATGGAGCCTTCTTCGGGTGTCACATGTGAGTATTGGATTGATAGGGTAGCCTAACATAATACTGCCCATGCAGACCTCTAGTGTTCCAAAGCATCCTTTATATGTCACGGAATACAAAACTGATGCATGGAAAATAAGATCACCTTATAAAATCCAGGACTGATTACATTTATATCAAGTTCAGCCAGATTAGTAGTAATGCAGGCCTCTCGGTAAACTGCTAACACTGCTCTGAAGAGATGCTGTGGCTGGGAAATAAGAGTAAATCCACCATCCAAACTCCTCCACTGTACAGCTTAGACTGCTCAGAGCTTAACTCCTTAGATTCTCATTCTTATAATCTACAGTATAATTCTCAAGATACAGACTCTAGCTTGTGGTCATCGAATATTTTGAATATTATTTGTACCATTCTTGCTTATACTGTTGTACTTATTTAATTGGCACTGTTTTTCCATTGATGTGATCAAAATATTACATAAAAGTTTCACTTACTGTAGCTATAGAAAGAACTATAAAAGTACATTAAGAATGATAAAAGTAAGAGGGATTAAAAAATAATGCACATATGTTCATTCTTTATAAAGTAAAAAGTACGTAACCTAAGCTTTCAACCAGACAATTAACGTACATTATAACAAAATGTGGCAAATAATGTGAAATAGAGGCTTCTTAATTTACAGTTTGCAAGACAGTGTGACATACTCCAGAAACTTCTGAGCAAATGTAAATTAAAGGGCTAATAATCTGATGAATCAAATGCAGTATATGTCTGTTGTTTTTAGACACCAGTTCTCACATAAACAGCAGTTTAAGACTCTTTGTTATTTTGCTGGTGATTTTCATGTCTCTTTTAAACAGGGCTGCTTCTGATTTAGTTCTCTGTGGCATAAGATTGTCCTTATGTTCAAGGTCATTTTTTAATGGGAGATATAAGAGTCAGGATCAATAGGACATGCCTGGTGAATATGTCTACACAGGAACACATACTATTCTGCTTTGTCTTCCTGTTGATTTGCTTTGTTCTTTTGTACTTGCAGATTGTTCTTTAATCAATGTAGATATTAGACTTGTACTATATATAATAATGGTGCATTTATTCGCAATCTATGATTAAAT